TGAAATTGAGCAGCTCCTTCTACAATCTGGAACAGGTTTGGATAGGGCTGTACAATGAGACAAAAATCAGTCTGAACCTTGAGTAAATGTACTACAGTAGCACATATGTTCGACACAGTTTTACATGTGTATGAGTCGTTTACAAACCTGTTGTCCAACAAAGATATTTTAATTTATTGACATGCTTTTACTCCATATTATCTTCATAACAGTCGAGTGTTTTAAATATCTTATTTTTGTGATCAGACGTGGTTTTGTATCACAGAATAAAGAAGAAATCATACAATTTTATAGCATTATATACAGTGATAAAGGCTATGTCGATTAGCATTGCATTGTAAATATACTCTATCCTTATAAAAACTACCCAAGATTGCTTGAAGAACACAGATGCCATATATTTTGTGCAATCGCATGTTTATTGTCTTCAGGATTCCTGTTAAAATTTCTCTATGTGCGTTGTATTCAGCTACAGCGATCCCTGGATACTTCTTCCTGGAGCATTACTTCTACTTGCATATGTGGAGTTTCTGCGCAAGGGCGCCCTCCGGCTTCCAGTATGAATTAAACATTCATTACATTGTGTACTCACAATAAATATCAGAAATTATCGTGATACATTTTTAAGCCCATATCACCCATCCCTACTGCACAGGCTCAAATGGGCCCTGCTGTAGTGCTCTGAACACTACAGCAGGGCCCATTTGAGCCTTTGCAGACAGTCGAGCTGAAGTTTCTGAGCACTAGAGACAGGTCCCAAGAGGGTATAGAGGGAGGCCGTGGAGAATTTAGCCTTCTCGCCCCCTAAGGAACCTGATTACCAGGTCATGCTTCCCCACCGACTTCCCTTCCATGGGGTCGTGGTTGGCAGCAATCGCAGCCACATAGACTTTAAGGGTGGAGGGAGACAGCCTTCGCTCCAACCTCTGCTGCAGAAAGGACAGAACGACTCTGATCGGACATCTCCGGGGGTCTTCTCGGTGAGAAGAGCACCATTCGACGAACAGGTTCCACTTCAAGGCGTAAGAGTGTCTCACAGACGGTGCTCTCGCCGAAGTGATGGTGTCAACTACCTCTTAGGGTAAGTCACCTAGAACCTCCACGTCCCGTCCAGGAACCAAACATGAAGTTTCCAGAGGTCTGGACGCGGGTGCCACAGGGTGCCCTGTCTCAGTAGATCAGTAGTCAGTAGATCCTTCCTCAGAGGAATCTGCCGAGGGGCTGTCACAAGGAGCATCAGTTCCGGGAACCAAGTTCGAGTGGGCCTGTAAGGCGCTATGAGCAGGACCTGCTCCTCGTTTTCCCTGATCTTGCACAGTATCTGTGCAAGAAGGCTCACTGGGGGAAACATACTTGCGAAGGCCCCGCGGCCAGCTGTGTGCCAGTGCATCCATGCCGTGTTCCCTCGGCCAGAGAGTAGAACAACTGGCAGTGAGAGGTTTCTGGAGAGGCAAACAGATCTACCTGAGCGGCTCCGAAACGACTCCAAATCAGCTGGACCGTCTGGGGATGGAGTTTCCATTCTCCCGGGAGTGCAGCTCGTGACAGCTCATCGGCTGCCTGGTTGTGCAGACCAGGAATGTGAATGACCTCAGATGCTTCTGACTCCAGAGGAGGTGGTGACGGACGAGTTGCGACATGAGCGTAGACCACCTTACATCGGTCGCATTGTTGTCCGTGCGGACCAGCACGCGCTTGCCTTGTAAGTGCCTCTTGAGACGGCTCAAGGCCAGGCATACTGCCAGCAACTTTAGGCAATTGATGTGCCAGTGCAGTTGGGGGCCCGTCCAAACCACCGACACTGCAAGCCCGTCGAACGTGACCCCCCAGCCGGTGGTTGAGGCATCTGTGTAAACCCCGCCATGCCTGGAGACCTGTTACAGGGGCGCTCCTGCACGGAGAAACGAAGGGTCTGAACACAGGGTGAAGGTTTGGTGGCAGGCCGGTGTGACTCGGACTCGGTGAGTGCCGCGTAGCCACGCCCACCTCAGGACTCGGCCATGGAGCCAGTGTTAAAGCGCTCTCATATGAAGCAGCCCCAGCGGCGTGACTGCCGCTGCAGCTGCCATATACCCCAGAAGCCTCTGAAACTGTTTCAGTGGGACCGCCATCCTGCACTTGAACATATTCAGGCAGTTCAACACCGACTGAGCACGTCTTTGCATGAGGCGTGCTCGACCGAATCCAACTTCATACCGAGAAAAGAGATCCTCTGCGTCAAGGAAAGTTTGCTCTTTTCCCAGTTGACCCAAAGGCCCAACCGGCTGAGGTGCGAAAGCTCCAAGTCCCTGTGTGCACACAACTGATCCTGAAACTGAGCTAGTATGAGCCAGATGTCGAGGTAGTTGAGAATGCGAACGCCCTGTTCTCTCCGGGGAACAAGGGCTGTTTCTAAAACTTACGTGAAGACACGGGGCAACAGCCCGGAGGGTAGGACCTTGTACTGATATGCTCGTCCTTCGAACGCGAACCATTCGAGGGACGAGTATAGTCTGTGGTGCGGAAGGATCGACACATTAAAGTGCGCGTCCTTCAGGTCGATCGCTGCAAACCAATCTCAGGGACGGATGCACCCGAAGATGCATTCCTACGTCAACATCTTGAACGGTAACCGGTGAAGGGCCCAGTTCAAGACATGCAGGTCCAAGATTGGTCATAACCCACCACCTTTCTTGGGTATAACAAAGTAGGAGCTGTAATATCCCATCTCCATATCGGCTGGAGGGACCGGCTCTATCGCATCCTTCGCCAGTAGGACTGCGATCTCCGCACGCAAGACAGGAGCATCAGCCACCTTCACTGATGTGAAGCAGATGCCGCTGAACTTGGGGGGGATGCCGGGCGAACTGAATAGCATAGCTGAGTCTGATGGTCCGCAGGAGCCAGCGAGACATTCGGGTAGCCAGGCACGCCTGGTTCCACAGTTTGGCAGAGGGAGCGTGAGTAGGGACTTTGATGACGCTCTCGAACCACTCGCTGCTGCCCTCTGGCCAGAGAGGAGGATGAGTGTGGTCCGTTGTTGGTCCATCCACGACTCTCCATGCCCTCGTGGGACCCAGAGACAGAGAAAACCTCTCTCCTGTTGAGATTTTTCCTGTCGAGATTTTTCTCCCTCCAGGGGAGGGAGAGGTGCATTCACCATCCCCCAAAGAGCAGTTCCCTCTCTCTCTGGGTCGCCTGTCCCAAGGCCTCTTGCTCTTCCATTCACCGCCAGGTTGACGGGGTCCTGGACGGGCGGGGTGGCCTGCCTATGCCCAGCTCCACGGCGCCACTTGCTTGAGGCTGCTGCGGATGCGGCACGGGAGTGAGGGTGGACACAGGATGCCGCCCTCGGCGACGAGCAGGCTGGGATCGCCTCAGTCTGCTCCTGTGCAGCCGAGAACTGCTGGGCCATGTTCTCGACTGTGTCGCCGAAAAGGCCGGCCTGGGACACAGGGACCTTGAGGAACCGAACTTTGTCGGCGTCCCTCATGTCGACCAGACACAACCAGAGGTGACACTCCTGTCCACTCCTGTGGACATCGCGCGACTCAGAGAACTCGCGGTGACCTTCATCGCTCGGAGTGCGAGATCAGTTGTGGTTTGGAGCTCTTTTAGAACTTCCGGATCGTGACCACCCTCGTGCAGGCCCCTCAGTGCTTTAGCCTGTAGAACCTGCAGTAACGCCGTAGCGTGGGCGTCCCACATGTCGACCAGACACAACCAGAGGTGACACTCCTGTCCACTCCTGTGGACATCGCGCGACTCAGAGAACTCGCGGTGACCTTCATCGCTCGGAGTGCGAGATCAGTTGTGGTTTGGAGCTCTTTTAGAACTTCCGGATCGTGACCACCCTCGTGCAGGCCCCTCAGTGCTTTAGCCTGTAGAACCTGCAGTAACGCCGTAGCGTGTAAGATGGAGGCACCTTCTCCACAGGCCGTATAAGCATCGCCGGACAGTCCAGATGAGTACCTACAGACCCTGGACTCAACTGCCAACACAAACGGGGTACTCCAGCCTGATGTGTGCAACCCACTTGAAACGGGAAACCACCACTGCTGAAGCGCCGTACCGCCAACACGAAGAGCTCTCAAAGAGCACGCTGAACTCGTTAAGTCTTCTTCTCTCAGTAGAGTAGTCAGGAGCAAAACAATGTGATCGCTCGGCTCCGAAGCGAAAAGTTGAATATGCGCTGCACCTGCTGCCTACTTATACTCACGCTGTGATCAGCGGCAGCTGGATGCAATAATCGCATGCCAATGTAGATCGTAAATCGCGCAGCGCACACACAGAAACATTGTGGCACACAAACTTTTATTAATAAAATAGCTTCACTGCACAGACACAGGTAATTCACACACTCAACTTTCATCCCTCTCTCTCGCATGCACTAATTATTTCAAATAAATGATATAATTCATTCATTCAAATAAATGTGATTTTACCGCACTACTTCCCCTCTGTCTGATTTAAAGCAGGCAGAATGCTAACGAGCCATAACTGATGAAAATTACAGTATTTTTTACTGTTTGCCTCCAAGTCCTATATTAAAATCTTTTAAGGCACATGCTAGCTGTGGATTATCACTTACATTTAATGTGTGCATGTCGTTTCTTGTTATATATTACGGGCTAAATTTAAAATTAAAACTTGTTTTGCCCTTGTACCTGATATAGCGATCTGTCACAACATGGCAAATAGCATGCACACATAAGCTGGTTGTGAGCAATAGGGCCTTTCGCACCGCGGGAACCTTTTCATAGTACCAGAAGTAATTGTGGAACTAACCACTTTTTGGCGTTTTCGCTCCGCCGGAACTGGGTGCAATTTTAGTACCAGACTGCCTTTTTCGAGAACCAAATTAGCTCCTACTCCGAAGCAGGGTCTAACCAGCACATTGCTGCGATTGAACACACCATACAGACCTCAGCCAACTGCAAACTAACACGTGCATTCTGTGCGAGAACAATTAGCTGTCTATATCAGCAGCTATCAATAGTATGTATTAGCCATTCAAAAAGGAGAAACCGAAACAAGAATATACAAGATATATGAAACGTAAACAAAGCAGCGCTTGCTTACCATTTTGAATATCAGTTATGTTGATAACTTTATTCATTTTTAGCCGCTCATGTTGTTATGAATATATTCACATACTTGGGTAAGATCACGTAACATTAGAACAGCCCTCAGTCTGTGCCGCCTTCATTTACTGGTTTTCATCACTTTCACTTGAATTCTCGGGCACTGATTCGTTCGCTAAACTGAACTTCCAATCAAGAGTTCTCACTCTCGCCGACGGCCCGACGCCAATTCAGTATGTTAAATTGGGCAAACTGCCGCCGACCTGGAGGTCTGCTACCCGATCTGAGTCCAACAGGTCTCGAAATATTCTTGGGTTTGGGTCTAGCTTGTAGCTAAACTAAAACTGTATGCAGTAGGTTACGATGCTTTCATAGATGCATGCATACACACATAACTGAACACAGATATCTTTATCTCTTTTATCTCCTTGCACTGGCTACCGGTTGCAGCTCGCATCAAGTTCAAGACATTGATGCTTGCATATAGAACAGCCACAGGCTCAGCACCCTCCTACTTCCACTTTGTGTGGCTTTTTCACCAGTTATGAAATCATGGTGTTTCTCACACTGATCTGTCTGTTCCATTTCATTCGGATCTTGATTCTCCTCTTTCAGCACCAGCAGGTCTAAAGCAAAAAAAGATAAATACAAGTTAACCACAGTTTAAAGCCACAAAGCAAAAGATATGAAAAGCAACATGAAAGCATTTAAGGCCGGGACACTTCAAAGAACTAGCGGCTACAAAAGCCGACGATGTTGTCTCCTTGCGTCGGCAGCATCTGGATCAAAATGCTGCGATTGAACACACCATACAGACCTCAGCCAACTGCAAACTAACACGTGCATTCTGTGCGAGAACAATTAGCTGTCTATATCAGCAGCTATCAATAGTATGTATTAGCCATTCAAAAAGGAGAAACCGAAACAAGAATATACAAGATATATGAAACGTAAACAAAGCAGCGCTTGCTTACCATTTTGAATATCAGTTATGTTGATAACTTTATTCATTTTTAGCCGCTCATGTTGTTATGAATATATTCACATACTTGGGTAAGGTCACGTAACATTAGAACAGCCCTCAGTCTGTGCCGCCTTCATTTACTGGTTTTCATCACTTTCACTTGAATTCTCGGGCACTGATTCGTTCGCTAAACTGAACTTCCAATCAAGAGTTCTCACTCTCGCCGACGGCCCGACGCCAATTCAGTATGTTAAATTGGGCAAACTGCCGCCGACCTGGAGGTCTGCTACCCGATCTGAGTCCAACAGGTCTCGAAATATTCTTGGGTTTGGGTCGGGCTTGTAGCTAAACCTAAACTGTGTGCAGTAGGCTACAATGCTTTCATAGATGCACGCATACACACATAACTGAACACAGATATCAGAAATCGCGCAGCGCACAGAAACATTGTGGCGCACAAACTTTTATTAATAAAATAGCTTCTAAAATAGACTCGCTACGTTATATTTCTCAGCAACAAGGGGATATAATCGCTGTTTTTGATGCAACTAAGCTTTATTGCTGGTAGAGAGAGATGCGCAGATGCATGTAATTCACACGCGTGACTTTCATCCCTCTTTCTCACATGCAGTAATTTTTTCTAATAAATGATATAATTAATTCATTCAAATAAATGTGATTTTACCGCACTACTTCCCCTCTATGTCTGATTTAAAGCAGGCAGAATGCTAACGAGCCATAACTGATGAAAATTACAGTATTTTTTACTGTTTGCCTCCAAGTCCTATATTAAAATCTTTTAAGGCACATGCTAGCTGTGGATTATCCCTTACATTTAATGTGTGCATGCCGTTTCTTATTATATATTACAAGCTCTATTTAAAATGAAACTTGTTTTGCTCTTGTAACTGATCTAGCGATCTGTCACAACATGGCAAATAGCATGCACACATAAGCTGGTTGTGAGCAATAGGGCCTTTCGTTCTACGCTGACAGAAACTGCTGAGGCAGCTGAGCGTGAATTCCAGTGTGACGCTTCAGTTAATAGTTATAAAGCGCAAGATAAACTGTTAAGTAGCTAAACTAAGCATTTAATATTTAACAGCTGAAATAAACCGAAATAATCAGGGATGCAAACTAATAAACTTTTGTCTAATTTAGCCATATAAAATACCCTATATCATTTACAATGTGGTTCATGTAATTTAGATTATAACTGTCAATGTGACAAGATAAACATTAACGAACATTTTAGGCATAAAATTAATAATGAATGAGAGTATATTCTAAATGAATTAATTTGCCTAGCTTTCCTGGTACCCTTCAATAAATTCACTTGTCTAAGTAAAGGATTGATCAGTGTTTCCCACAGGATTTTGTAAGACTGTGGTGGGTGGACCTTGATGCCTCTAGGGGGTCCGGGGGCACAGCTTGTAAACAATTTAATGTAACATTACCTCAGGAAGGTCACTGAATGTCCATAAACGCGATAATTTGCTTGAAAAGTAACTACAGAGAGGAGCATTTTGTCACTGTACTCTATGTTGATCTTAAAATTAAAATCAGAAAGATGTGATTGTTTTTGTAAATATGACTAATTTTATACATTGTGCATGCTTCTACTTTTCCTCATGGTTTAGTGTTAAAAGCAAACAAAAATAGCAATACAATGTAATTTCAAATCACAATACTTGCAGAATCGTAATTCTTCAAACAAGAAGAACTTATTTTCTCAAGTAGAATAAGTGAAGGCTAATGTTATGGCAAATCTCCGTCCAGGGTTAAGTACACACTAGATCTCGGGCTAGATGGAGCATGGGTCAGATCAGGTTGGATTCTACATTTCTGACCAACTGATGGTTTGAGCTTTAACAAAGTTGCTGTGTAAGCAACTGTAGGGAATTAATAGGGCTGGACAATTTGACCTAAAATCAAACTCTCGATTAATTTAACATTTTACCTCGATTACAATTGTTGAACGATCATTTTTATTATTCACTTCATTTTGCTGTTCTTGACTGACAAGGTGGGATTTTATTTTTCTAATGAAAGAGTGCATGTCTTATTTTTGTGATTTTAACAAACTATTTATGCTTATTTATTGAATATTTAGAACAACTGAAATCAAAAAAGCACACATTGCTTAAAATGAAAACATCTTATGAAAAAACTCACATTACAGTTTTAATGTAAAAAGCTGAGAAAAATAAGCCAGAATTTACCTCAGAAGAAGACGCGCTGAGAGGAATAAGTCAGAATTTACCTCAGAAGAACATGCGCTGAGAGGAATAAGCCAGAATTTACCTCAGAAGAAGATGC